ACTCCGCAAAAACCCTGCTTGGATCCTCGCAACTGTTGCATTTTCCGACGACGTCGTCCACAGTGGCCGTGTTTAGTGACGCCAGTGAGCTGGGGTGGGGGCTCGTCGTGACTCAAGTGGATGACTGGGACTCTGCATTACCTGCTAACGAGCAGCAGCACCAACTTCTAGTATGCAAAAGCGGAATTTTCGACGAGACGGAACGTCGGTGGAGCATCATTGAGAAGGAAGCGTACCCGATCATTTGGGCTGCCCGCAACCTGGGCCATCTTCTCGTCCGCCCTTCAGGCTTCAGGCTGTTCTGCGACCACAAGAACCTGATCTACGTTTTCGCACCAACACACGAAGTTAAACGTCACGTGCGTGGCAAATTACAACGGTGGGCGTTATCTCTCACTGGTCTTCACTACCAAATCGACCACATCGATGGTACGGCGAACGTGTGGGCCGATCTACTCTCGCGGTGGGGCTCTTGTGGTGAGGCAGGGGTGCACGTGAAGTGCAAATTCGTCACGCGTAGCCAGCAACGCATTGACGACGCGACTGAACGCCAACTTGACGAGCTGCGTCCGCGTCAAGGCGACTTTGTCTTTCCGACCTTGAATGAGATCAGCCAAGTGCAACACCAACACAAGCGGAATGCACCCAGAGCAACGGTGTGCGATCACAATGGCATCATGACTGTCGACGGAAAAATATGGATACCAGAGTCCGTGAAGGAGCTACGACAGCGCATTCTCATTGTGGCTCATTGCGGTAGTCAAGGACACCGTGGACTTGACGCGATGATGACTACAGTCAAAGACCTTTTCTCGATCAAAGGCCTGGAACAACATTGCCGGCAATTCCTGAAACGATGCCTTCTCTGCAAACACGTGAAAGGTGGTAATGTGATTCCTCGCCCCTGGGGGCCTACATACGACGCATCTGAGCGAAACGAGATGCTCCACTGGGATTTTCTTTTTCTTGGTGACAGTGTGGGTGAATGCAAGTACCTACTCGTAATGAAGGACGGCCTTACTCATTTTTGTGAATTGGTGGCTTGCGATTCGCCAACAAGTGTCGTGGCAGCCATTTCACTCATGGATTGGTCGAAGCGTTTTGGTCCGCCTAAAAATTTGATTTCCGATCAAGGAAGCCATTTCAAGAACCAGGTTGTACAGCAACTTTGCAAACAGCTCTCCATTGAACAGGATCTAGTTCTAGCCTACGCTCCGTGGATCAACGGTACTATCGAGCGACTGAATCGAGATGTGCTGCAAGTTCTACGTGTTCTGCTGATGGAGATGAAGCTGGACACGCATGAGTGGGAATATCTCGTTCCGGTAGTGCAAGGGATTCTGAATCACACTCCAGTGGCTTCATTAGGCAACCGGTCCCCTGGTGAGCTTTTCACCGCGTTACCTAGACCTACACCATTTGAGACTATCGTAGTTGAGCGCAACGGCAAGGCCATGATGGTGACTGAGCCGGTGACTATTCCTGACGAAATGGTGGAGAACATGCAACGAAGTCTACAAGAAATGCACAAGGAGGTGGTGGACATTCGGGAGCGACGTCGGTTGCAGAACATGAGCCGCTCTAATGGAGTACCATGCAATTTCACTATCGGTGATTTTGTACTGTGGTCAAGGATCGACTCTCGCCTTTCGGTAAACAAACTACTCGCTCGCTGGGTGGGACCATTCGAAGTTGTCGAGGAGCACCCTCATTCCTATATGATTCGCCACTTGGTGAGTAGCCAACGCTACATGGTGCATGGATCCCGGCTCAAGTTCTACCGTGACGGAAGCCTGGGCACCAGCGAGGAACTCCTGGCCCATGTCGGCAACCAAGGTATGGTCCTTGGCGTCGAAGATTTTAAGGATCACCGCAAGACCCAACATGGATGGCAGCTTCTCGTGTCCTGGGTCGGTTTGCAGAACGAAGAAGACTTCTGGGAATCTCTTCAGAGTCTCTACAGTGATATACCTACGCGTGTGGAGAATTACGCAGCTCAAAGTGGCGACAACGAGTTTGTACAGGCCCTGTCGACCTTTCAGCAAAATACCAGAGCCTAATTCGACGTGTAGGTCAAGTTATGGATCAACTTCAACGTGTTGCAGTGCAACTTGACCTGTAACACTGTCCCGTCTCATGTATGGACTGTTTTTTCGCAACCGGTGACAGATTTTCATCAGTCGTGACATTTGGTGACATATGTCTTTCTGACTTGGATTTCCTATACTTGGAGAATTTTCAATACAAGAGGCTCAACATTCATATCTGCATATCAAGACGGTAC